TGCTGGAACAGGCAAAAGCTCGTTCGCTCAAGAGTTTGTCCGTCGCCACGAGGGAGAAAAATTGGCTGGATACCATTACTGTCAAAAAGACAACCCTCGCACCTGCGATTTGAAATCGTTAGTCAATAGTCTCAGCACAATGCTCTCGAAGAGTCTTTCCGAATATGCTGCCTTGGTTGAGAAACTACAGACTGATCAATTTCGAGATAATCCTAACGCACTGTTCGATTTGTTAATTACTACGCCATTGCAGCAAATGAATGAAAATACCAGACATTTTCTTGTCATTGACGGCTTAGATGAAGGAGGTGCCATGATTGCTTCTTGCTTTGCCAGATTATCAGGAACACTTCCTTCGTGGCTTCGCGTCATTTTGGCTGCAAGACACAATTCTCCCGCTTTATCGGGCCTTTTTTTAAATTCCACCTCTGCTAAACTAGACCAATTTGAGACTAGTCTCGAGTCCCTGTCTAGCAAAGATATTCGTCAGTTTGTCTCCATGAAGTACAGAAAACTTCAAACTGAATTTAACTGTATTCCTTCTTTCTTTGCTAATGACGAGCAAGTAGGCCAAGAGAAAATAGTTCAGGCTAGTCAGAACTGCTTTCTTTATGCTAAACTTGTGATGGAACACATCTTTGATGGCCATAATGAAATTGGTTTGCCTGCCTCGTTATCTGAGATTTACTGCTTGGACTTCAGGCGTCGCTTTCCAAAGATAGAATTATTTGAGGAAAAAGTTGCACCTGTGCTTCAGATTGTGCTTGCCATTCAATCTGCCAAGGCTTTTATGGATAGAGAGATTGACATAAAAGGTCGGTTAAATTGCGCAACTTTCCTTCCCTCTTTTTTTAGTGAAGGTGAAATAATTCGTTTACAGAATTTCCAGCGGGCTTATGAGGAGAGCGATGAAAGTGTTACAGGGGTTGTGAAGTGTGGTTTGCTGCCCGAAATTAAGATGCATGATCTCAATAAAGTCCTTAAACTTCTATCAGGCTACTTAGTAAAGGACGATTCTGGTAAATACTATTTCAGCCATAGTTCTGTAAGAGATTGGTTGCAAGACGAAGAGTCAGATTTCTTTTGCGATGTACTCAACGGGCACTCCATTATGGCAAACTATACCTTGAAAACTCTTAAAGTTAAGTATCCTTCACCAGAGAATTTCGGTGAAGATCTATGTTTTCGTCCGAAACATTCATATCCTATTGCTCTTCTAGATCTCAAATTCTTTTCTTTGCGTTATCTCTTTCATTCCAGTGAGAGCGGGAGTTCAAACGTGAATGTTCTAATATCTGAATTAGGTATTAAAGCAATCGACCTTCTTCATGTCGCATTTCACCCTGGTAATATTTGTGAAGGTTGCATTTGTTCCGAGTATATGGCAATGAAAGTTCTCGAGAAAACAGATGTTTTGAATAAAATGACCATACAGGAAAAAGCTGAACATCTTGACCTTGCTCTTTGGTTGCATTATGCAAAAATTACTGCCAAGTTCTTTGATAGCCGCACATACTGGACTTTTAGTCACGAGGCCATCATACGTTTGAACTTGAACATCAAACTACCACAGCTCGTCCCAAAGGAATCACTGCCCCAGTTATTATTTTCGTCTCTCGAGGATACTATGATTCACGATAACATATTTAAATTTTGTGTAAAAAATGGATTGACGGCGGATGTATGTGTTCCTCAATTCTTTCAGAACACCAAGGGCTTTGACTCGTCCATCTGCTGGAACGAAGATGTCCAAGAGTATTTTAGGAAATTGAAGTCAGGCGAAAAGAATGTTATCACTTTGGAGTCCCTTAAAGAGAAGCCATTTTATCCAGAAGAAGCTAAAGTGTCGGAATTTACATTGGAGATCATTCAGAAACCTCTTTCAGGTATTGATTACAAATATTCTTGTAAATCTGCAGGTGTGCATGGTGAAAAAATTATTCTTTGATATAAAGTTGATTAAGCGTATTCTTAAAAATAGCTTTGGAAAAAACCTAGTTTGTTATATATGAAAGCAATACACCTCATCGTATACTGTAGGCTGTATTCTGTGACCAAAACAGTTGCTGCTTAGAAAACGCGTTTTGTTGCCTCCCTTCGGTCACTACTTTAAAATTACATAAATGTATAGATTCTGATATGCCTGGCACGAATTTATTCATGAAAACCTGCAGTTTCTTTATATTTTACGATCAAACATCATCATTTTCTATTAAAATTAGCATTTTTTTTAAACTTCATGTTATACACAGTTATTGCACTAGTTCAAAGGCGGGGGAGGGTAACACGCGGTTCATCTCAATACGAAATTGCAAGATTCTTTATCAAGAATTTTACAGATTCAAAACTTGTCCTACAATTTTCGGGGGTTAACAACGAACAAGGAGCGCACGATATTCGATAGATCTTCAGGACGCAGATGTATTTTATTAACACAAATTGACCCTTGGCAGCAGTTCTTTCAAAAACTACCTCATGCACGAAATCTGAACTTTTTCCTGTGGGGCATTAAGTGCTGACCACGATCATACGTTTCAATTTGTTCACGCTAAATCTCTCTAGTATACACTTTTTTAGATCTAACCGGGAGCAGCTGCGAAAATGGAAGTAATAGGCCCTTTGGCTGCGATTCCGGTGTAATGCTCTAACGCGCTGTGCAACAAAGACCAGTTGCTAAACATTGAGGTCCTAAAGTTGCATGGCTGTTAGGTCTGAAAAAGTGTATAGAAATTTAGGTTTGAAAATTCAATCTAAAAAACCATTCACTATTAATTGTATCGAACGAGATTCCCAAAATGTCGATATAAGAATCTTTATCAATCTACTCTTTGCAATTTCATATATAATTTAACAATAAACCCAAAAGCTGATGCAATATATCTCACGCCACCGCTCTGCGAGATAAGTCCACATTACAGCGATTTTTTATAATTTTTTGACGAATGATGGTAAATTTGCTTTGTAAATGGTTAGTCAGTATTTTGAAAGATTGCTTTTCACATTGTTTTAATTGTCTGCATTGGTTAATGAGAATTAGATGCCAACCAAAAATGGCGGATATTCGTCATCGTGAGAAAGGCTAATTATTGACGATTTACTGCATATAACCGCGTGATAAGAGACTTGAATTGGTGCAATAATGTTAATACAAAATGTTGATCTTTCATCGTAAAATACAAAGAAACTTTTTCAAAGAAACAGGTTTTTACGAGTGACAACAAGTTAATTCATACTCAGCATATAAAAATCTATAGATTCATCTACACTTAAAGTTGCGCCCGAAGGGGGGTGGGGGCAGAACTTAACTGAAACCAAATCACAGAATACGTCTTATTACGTACATTCAATTCTTCCTGTTACCATACCCCCAAATGTACACCAACGGAGTTTTGTTGAGCATCTGGTGCAGGAGGTGTCCCGTGGGGGTAGGGGTTAGGAATACACATGTTCACAGCCGAGGGGCTTTGGGACTCGTAGAAAAATTCAAAACATGGGCCCACTTGCACTCCAACTGTTTTTTCTTGCATATTTAAACATTCCTGTAGATCACAGATTGCGTTGGAAATTGGAAGAAAAAATGCTTCGTTTAACACTGTAATAACATCGCCTTTGATAGCCCTAGTGAACACGTTCTATCGCTTAGTGAATGCCTTTCAAATGTCGACATTCGTGAAATTTTGATAACGTGTTCGTGTGCAATATTGCCCATGGGAGGGGAATTGGCTTTTCTTTATTTGGCCAGGGGTGGGGAATTGACAGTTTACGAATAAAGAATACATAAATCCCCGGGGGGAGGGTAACAGGAAGAATCGAACCATGCATGATGCAGACAATTCTCTGCTGCGTACGCCTTTCTAAACGGACACCTCCTTAATATCAACGCCTTTCTAATAATGCGGACACCTTTCCAATGTACCGCCGTCCACATTAATCCGTTTTCGTTTGAAAACGTATACTTTTCCACGCGTTTTCGCCAATCTTCCACCTAATACGATGGAAAACGGATGCCTTCATTCAAAACGGCTTTGAAAGTAGGTGAAGACAACGCGGGCGTATACATTGGATTAGTATGGACGGGCGAAAACGAAGGTTTTCAAAAACGCGGACGGTATGAACACAATCATTCGTAGTGAGTGTGTTGTTTTTCCGAATTTCAAATGAATTGCTTGTCTTGCACTGGATATAATGATGATTAATCTGCAAGCATAACTTGCAAAGACAATCAAATGCTCTACACTATGTCCTAGGTTAATCATTTAATTTATTTCTGAGATTGTAAAGCCACTATAGAAGCTCTATTATCGGCGACGTTTTTAGGTCCAACCTCGGTAAATTTGTCTCTTTCTCCGTAAAAATGTTCCTGGCCTTCTTGTAGATTTTTGCATGAATGAAACGGTAAAATGAATGAAAATCAAAAATAATAAAAAATTATCGTTTTCTAAGTGCTAATGTGGTAAAAAACGATCCAAAAACGCTACTTTGGACGCAGATATTTGTATGCGTTTTCGAAACATCAAGAACGAAGGGATTCGAAAACGGATTAATAGTGTGGACGTAGCCTACCTTCCCAATACGGATACCTCTCTAATATGAATACCTCCCTAATAGAGATACCTCGCTCATACAGACACCTCTCTGATAGTGTTAATGTGTATTCTTTGCGAGGTACAGTATGTAGTTTCACTATAGTTGGCCGTATACATGTATATAATAATTATGCTTTATTCTTATTCAGAAATTGAACGCCTTCTGAGAGATGGAATGATTTATGTGGAGTTCAAGTATGCCTGGCACTCGCTTTTACCAGGAGAGTTTCAGATTTTCCGAGATGAAAAGCTACAAAGGGTAGAAAAGTGTTTAAAGCATGGAGCAAACCGAAGCAACAGAGGAGGTCCTGGGGTAACTGCCCTAATGCTAACGTGTGAGAACCTAAATGATCTTTTTAAGGATTCACCTGCGGCGGAACAGGTGATGTCGTTACTCTTGGATCACGGAGCTGAAGTGAATCAACAGGATTTTTATGGACGTACTGCGCTTCATTATGCATTTGAATCCAGATATAACACTGAAGAAAGGCTTCCTCGAAAACAACGTGCTATTGAAATCCTTATTCAGCACAATGCAGACATTTATCTAAAAGATTCGTCTGGCCATTCCGCCTTTGACATGGCTAAGCGTGCGGGATACGAATCATGGTTAAAAACCGATGAAGCATCATTGACAGGAACATGCGCTCAAAGAAAGGAAAAACATCCTGTTCCATAAGCTAACCATGAACTCGATAAGCCTGCTCTAATCTGAACTAGTCCCTTATTCAACAGAAAGCAAGACTCGTACGAGATCTGATAAAAATAAAGAACTTAATGCTATTACTTGGAACCCCAAAACTAACCTTAGTGACCAAAGCACGTACACGTTTACACTGGAAATTTCAAAGAATTGAACCAACTGCAAAAAAGTTATTCCGTCATCGTTTTTGGTGACCACTTTTGCAGTTGATTCATTTGGAAATTTACAGTGAGGTAATACAATTAAGTAACAATATATATAGCATTTATATATAGGCAAAGAGTAACAAATGATGAACTGCATGGCAATACAATTAAGTAACAAGATATATAGCATTTGTATATTAGGGCAAGAGTGACCAGACATTGAACTGGTAGTACAATTAAGTAGCCTAAGAATATAGCATTTGACATTTGTATGTTTCATAAATTTCATGTAGTTTTAAAGCAGTTAGTGTTAAAATTTTGATACGTGTACAATATATAGCTAGCACTAGTTGCATATTCATAAATTTCATGTAGTTTTAAAAGCAGTTATTGTAAGAATTTTGAGAAGTGTATAAAATACATAGCTAGCACTCAGGGCCGCACAGGGAAATTCGAGGGCCTGGCGCAAATTTTTAATTCAGGGCCCCTATTTAGGGGGAGTAAAAAATTTTCTCAGACATATCCAAAAAAAAGGTTCAAAAAATTTTTCCAGACAAATACCAGCAAAACAGGTCTAAAAGATTTCTCTTATACCATGACTTAGGCCATATAAAAAAAAATAGTTGGTTAGCGTCCTTAGCTTTTGCCAAAAAGTGGGCGGGCGGGCGCTTTTTTTTTTAATTTTTACTAATTTTTAACGCCTTGATTTTACTCACTGTTAGGTCCGAAACTGGATTTTCTTGCGCAGTACAGATATTTTTTTATATATTTCAAAATATAATTCATACCGTCATTCTCGCACGCAATTTCGCAAATTATTAACACAATTGACTACAGTCAACAGAAATACTACATATATTAGAGCCCGTTGATCAATAAAAGTCGTTTTTTTTTAAATAAAAAATAAAAAAAAATCTTGAGCGGGGCCTTTTTTGTGGGCGGGCGGGGACGCTAACCAACTATTTTTTTTTATGTGGCCTTATATAAAAAACGTTCCAAATTATTTTTTTTAATTACATTTTGCAGGTCCCCCCCTTTTGCAAATTTTGAGGCTCCATTCACTAGGGGACTGGGGTACCATTGCCACCTCCCGCCCCCCTCTGGGCAGCGCTGCTACCACAAGTTGCATATTCATAAATTTGTAGTTTTAAAAGCAGTTACTGTCAAAATTTTGTGATGTGTTTATTTGTCCATTAAAGTTAAAGAACACTGAAATATCTGTGAAGGCAAATTTGTTCTGTAGACCATGATGTATATTTATAATGGTCTAATGAAAGAACTCATTTGGTAGTCTACAAACCCATATTTCATTTCCCATGCTGGATTCGTAGACTTCCATTTGGCCCGCACAGTAGTGATAATAATAATAATAATAAACATTTATATAGCGCACAAACCAAGACTGTTCTAGGCGCTTTACAGTAATACAAAATCCAATCTTAAAAACTAGTGTTAAGAATGTTAAAACTATAGAATACATCATACACTATTTAAAAACAAGTTAAAAAGATATGTTTTAAGAAACTTCTTAAAAATGGTTAATGATTCACACATCCGAAGATGAACAGGTAAATCATTCCACAATCTTGGTCCAGCAACACAGAACGATCTGTCTCCGTATGTCTTTAGTCTAGAATAAGGAATCTGGAGCAATTCATTTCCATTTGATCGAAGAGTACGCTGCGAAGTACGACACAGCATAAGTTCCTTCAGATACGATGGAGCAAGATCATTAACAGCTTTGTAGACAAGAGGTATAATCTTGAATTGAATACGGTATTGGACAGGTAACCAATGCAATTCGATAAGAACTGGGGTGATATGCGCCGATTTCTTAGTATCAGTTAGTAAACGAGCTGCAGTATTTTGGACTCTCTGAAGCTTCTGAAGCAAATATTTGGGTACACCATACAACAGGGAGTTACAATAATCCAGTCTTGAAGTTATAAATGCATGAATAATTATTTCTAAGCAATTTCGAGGTAGATACTTCTTAATTCTTGAAATATTCCTAATATGGTAGTAAGCTGACTTGCAGATACCATTAATATGTTCGCCCAATCTGATCCACTCATCAAAAATCACCCCCAGATTTCTTGCTGAAACAGTTGGCACAATTTTTTCCTTTCCCACCATGATATAATTTAAGGGAAGCATCAGATGATAGCGTGAATGGACTAATATAAGCTCCGTTTTGCCACTATTTAGTTTCAATTTATTCAACATCAACCAGTTTCCCAATTCAAGTATACATTTCTCCATACGGATCTTAGATGATATTAAATCATCACGATCATTCGTTTTGAATGCAATGTAAAGTTGCCCATCATCAGAAAAAAGTGAAAGCGCAGATTGTGGCGCCTAGCCACATCCGCGAGAGGGGCAGTATAGAGTGAATACAACAGAGGACCCAACACAGATCCCTGAGGTACACCACAATCAAGATCACTCAATAACGAATCAGTTCCCTCAACACGAATAAACAGTTTCCTGGATGTAAGGTATGAGGTAAACCAATCCAACACACGACCCCTTATGCCAAAGCGTTTCGATAGTCTTGTTAATAACATTAAATGATCCACGGTGTCAAAAGCCGCCGACAGATCCAATAGGACAAGAATAACAGAATCACCGTTATCTAGAGCTTGAAGGATATCATTTTGAACCCTCAATAGCGCTGTTTCAGTACTATGACAAGGTTTATAAGCAGACTGGAATTTCTCATGTAGATGATTTTCAGTAAGATAATCAGTTAATTGTACAGCAACTGCTTTCTCAATAGATTTCGAGAGACAAATTTCAGATTTGATATTGGACGAAAACTGCAGAATTCTTCATAGGAAAGATTGTACTTTTTTAATAGCGGTTGAACAACAGCAATCTTCAAAGAGTCAGGCATTGTACCACTTTCCAAGGAGAGGTTGATTATTCTAACTACAACGGGTAAGATGTCTTTAAAGCAGTGATTTAGCATGACCACCGGGAGTGGATCCAGAGAACAGGATTTAGTTGCGATACGTTGGATTAAATGGAGCACTTCGTCTTTTCCAACCTCCCTGAAGGTGTGAAATTCATAAGGACATGAATCAACATCAGGTATAGGATTTTCTATGTTTTTACTCAAGAGTTCATCTTCGATATCACCTCGTATTTTAACAATTTTCTGAGTGAAGAAATCACTAAATGAGTTGGCAAGTGACATTGGGTCAGGAGAAGATGGATAGCGAATAATCGTATTTGTATGCAGCAAATTGCTTACAGTCTTGAAAAGGGTTTTTGATCAGATGATCCATTATTAATTAAGTCGGTATAGTAAGCCGATTTTGAGGAGTCGATAAGTTTATTTACAGCATAACATTGTTGTTTATAGCGATTCCAATCAGCATTCGTCCTTGTTTTATGCCATTTTCTCTCAAGTTGTCTCCGAATTCGTTTCTTATCATTGATTTCGTTAGTATACCAGGGTGCCTTAGGGCGCAATGTAATTTCCCGGGATTTAATCGGTGCATGGTTATCTAAGATAGTATGAAGACAATCATACTCATTCACCAATGATACCAAATCCATAGTCGTAAAATTCTTAAGAAGAAAAGAATTTAGTACATCCGTTTTGAATTTATGAATATTAACCGCCCGCAAATTCATATAATACCGTAATTTATACTATAGTTTTTCCGGCTCAAACTTTAACCTCTGATTTTAAACTCTTATCTTTGACAAAAGATAAAAATACATTTAGTGGCTGCCGAGTTCATTTGTGGGTGATTAATATATAAACTGGCAAATTATTTTGACAAACGGTTACAAACCTTGATTATCATCGGTACAATCATTTATAAAAAGCTATATATATAGTAGAAATTTCCATTCGGAAGTGAAGAACAGCAAAATGTGCATGAGTCTTGGGTTTTGCCAGAATGACCACATGTTACAATTGGGTTACGATTACAATTTGGTAAGAAAACTTTGAAAAAATGGCAAATAAGGCGATTTCTTTGAAAGTCAATGTTTGCTTGTTGTATGAGAAAGTATTTTAATTATTAAAACGGTCCACATAAAAATTCTAACAAATTGTCAGTCAAAATAATATTCAAATACACATCAAGTATATTCGGCAAAGTATGCAAGAACAGCACAGTTATATATTCATATGACATGCTGTTTATAATGCCCCCCACATGAAATTAGTTTTTCACTTTGAGGATTTTTTTATACTTTTATTTCATACTCTGAAAAAAAGTATGAAGCTGGTAAGAGATGAGTGAGTTAGATATGACAAGTTTTATTCCAAGTATACACTTGTTGAAAGGGTAGTACATAAGATGCTAGCTTTTGAACAAGTGTGCTTGTCTTTGAAAAAATTGGCAAGGAAAATTTGACAAAGCAATTTGAGTCCTTGGACACAGTTGGTTTAATAGCGATCTATTGTCGTTGATAGCTGTCTGGCGCCAAGAAAGACAAAGAGTGTCAAGACTTGTTATCATAGGCGTACTGGGCGGGGGCGGTAGCCCGCCCAGTTTTTTGGGCAGTCGGGCAATATTCGATCAACAGTCGGGCAATTTTGGTTTGTAATAAAAATAAATGGGAGAAATTCTGTCAATTAAGTTGAAAATTCAGTCAATTATGTTGTAAATTTTTTTTTTTTGAAAATCTGTGTGATGTTCCGAAAAATTTTGGTATGTCTGGAAAAATTTTTTGACCCCTAAAATGGTATACTGACCGAAAATTTTTTGGCGACAGGGGGGGGGGTCGCAAAAATTATTTTTCCGGAAAAATTTTTTTAGGTACTAGTCGGGCACAATCCCGAAAAGTCGGGCGAATTTCTTTCCGCCCCCCTAATTTTTTCCTTCCGGTACGCCCATGCTTGTTATAGAAAATTTGTTGTACATAAGACAACCTCGGCAAAGTTGATCGTACTAAAACTACTTGTTCAGTTTGATGGTGAATTGAATATTTAGAAAGCGATACTTTATAATAAAACATTAAAAATACGGAATATAAACGGAACACCTACCTATCTCAAACGATCCAGTGCTGAAATACATCAACATTCGACAAGGGCCACAAGGCGAGAAACTCAACGATATCTGCCAAACCAGTTACAACCAGCAACTGCAGTGTCCCATAAACGTTGAAATTGCTACCATTTTTGGCCCAAATGTGGTGGCAATTTCCGCGCGCAATACAGAAGTATATAAAATTTGCGAACTTTGCAAGGTTATATTTTTCCGCATTTTACAACATTTCGAAACCAAACTTTGTAATTTTACTAATTTTAGTACGTTCGTTCTAGCTGAGGTTATTTGCATCTCCTTGCCTAGTTTTAAAATTAGTCTATAATGGGAATTGTCTGTTGTGACGTAGACTTGCCCACAAGGACAAACCGCGAAAAAAAGTGACTGGAAAGGACTTTGGGAAAGTCTAATTGTGACGTTGCGATATGGCGAATTAACATGCACGTCTCCCTATGAATGTAAAACGCGCCGTTTGTTAAATTTGTTTACGACCACCAGAATATATTATCGCTTAA